AGTTCGCTTTGGGAGTTGCAAACCTTTGCAGGAAGTGTTAGCAGTAAGAGTGGAGTGAATGTTTATCCCCAGAGAGCCTAAGAAGATAGTCCAAACAGCACCTATAACCTTAACACTTGTTTGCATTATGTCATAAAATTGTATATATTTTATGCTTTTATTTAACCACAATATCACTTATCCTATATAATAAAAGCCTAATTTGCAAATCAACCGAATGGCAGAACAACCGGTTGCTATGATGCACACTGACCACCAGAGGGCAGGCACTCAATGCAGGAGCTTCCCCCAGCCCACAGGCCCCAACCAGGGGCGACGGGGGTCGGGACCAGTGAGCAGGCAGTGCCAGACCAGCCAAGGCAGGGTGCCAGCGGGGGCCCCCTGTTTGCCCCGCCAGTTGCCCTGCAGAGGGAGGTGACCAGTGGTGGCAGTGGGGGGCAGGCCAGCGAGCAGGTGGTGCCAGGCCAGCCAAGGCGGGTGCCAGTGGGGAGCCCTTGATCGTCCTGCTGGTTGCCCCACAGATCAGCCCCGATCACCGGCCAGGCCTAGGGACCCTACCCATGCACGAATTTCGTGCACCTGGCCTCTAGTCTATATATATAAAAGCCTAAGCGACTGTTACAACCGTTTGACTGAACAACTGGTCACTATGACGCACACTGACCACCAGGGGGCAGATGCTCAAAGCAGGTGGTCAGTGCACTCCCACGGCCAACCTCCTGCAGCTGGCTAACCTCCCGCGGTCCCTTGCCCTGATTGGCCCCGATCGCTGGCCAGGCTGAGGGACCCCACCCGTGCACGAATCCTGGCCTCTAGTTTACATATAAAATTATTTTTCATTACGTAACATTGAGTAAATTGATGCATTTGAGAGATACACTGAGTTTGTTTTGGGGCCAAATGCCTTCCTGGAGTACCCTCTCTGTACTTGCATTCCCTGCTCATCTTCAAGTTGGAGAAGCATGTGTCTACCTTAGGCCACAGTCTGGGTGGCCTAAGGTAGACACAGTGTAAAAATGACACTTTTCCAGCCATGGCCACATTGTCAAAATGGTTGTGTCACTGAAAGAGCCGTCTGTGAGGTCTGATGATTGGTGATTCTGTCTGTGCTGACAGACTGTCCTCTCTTATACAGTTAGCAATTCAGACTTTTACTAGTATGCATGCTCTTTTAATTTTGTTCTTTTTTATTACAGTTGAGTTTCCTGTTGGTCCACCAGTTAAGTCTAGTAAATATCTTTTTAAGGTTGAAGACCTGCTGTTTTTGACATATGTAATTATTTTCATCTTAGCCTTACATGTTGTTAGTTTGAGACTTCTTATCATATAATAAAGTCTTTTTATATTTTTTGCCAATGTCTTTTTACAGTTTATGAAAGTGTGATGCAGTTAAATGATTGCACAGATACTGTTGAGTTGGAAAATATGGAACCTTACTATGCAGTAGCTGAAAACATCCATTTATCAGTGAATATCTGAATTAGGTGTGTGAAGGAATGTTCAGGGATAGATAATATACAGTAGTACAGGTTGTTTGAAGGGTGAAATGACAGAAGTAGAGAACCATCTGCAAACAGTTGAGCAAAGTTGAGAATAAACAACTATTCTCAATTGAGAGACTGAAGATAGAAGCAAAAAAAAAGGGCGGGGAGGAGATAAGGTGAAAGGAAGGTCCAAAGAGGCGGCCAGTGGGGTCAGTAGCACAGGGAGAGAGCACAGGTTTGCATTGCGAGAGCTCACTGAGGGGAAGACAGGCAGGTCATTTGCTGAGAGCTGGGAGAGCAGGGTACGTGGGCCTGAGAAGCGTAGTTACCTGTTAGCACAGCTTTGTGGAGAGAAGAGAGACTAGGGACTTGTCAAGTCCGGGGAAAAGGCTTGCTTAACTACATTTCCTTGGCGTAAAAGAGTTCCATGTAAATTTATTTCAAAAAATTATTTATTTTGTGGGGCTTGCTCTCAAGCATAGTCAATTCAACATACTTTTTATTTTTGCTTTCTCCTGAAACCCCAATAAAATCAGTAAGGTACTTATAAAAAGTCATGTACTCATTACTTGGTTTAAGAGGAGGGAAGGGGGATACAATGTGAATAACATTTTGCAAGTTGAACCTAACTGATCAGTGAACACTGAAAGCTAAATGCCTTCGGGGTTGGAGAACTCTAGAAAAAAGCCAATTCTTGCCTCAGAACCCCGGAAAAGCTTAGGAGCTGGAAGTGCCAGGTGTGTTCAAAGGCAGACAATGATATTTTTAGAAAAGAGGAAGTCCATTTGCTTATCTTTAATTTATGATGACTATTTACAGGCATATTTGAATTTGCTAATTAGAAGTTTAAATATGATTTTTAATATAGAATAGCAATTCCAATATTAGCTTCACAATGGTTTTCTGAATATATTTATAGTAAATGTAATCTAGCCATGTGTCTTCCATTTTTGCTCTAAATTTTTCAGGCAGACTACCAGGTATTCACCTGTTTTTGGAATATAGCTCTGTTATTTCTTTTTCTTTCTTTTTTTGATTAAATCTTTATTGTTCAGATTATTACAGTTGCTCCTCTTTTTTCCTCCCATAGCTAACCTCCACCCGGTTCCCACAACACCCTCTGCCCTTACCACCGCCCCCCCCACTGTCCTCATCCATAGGTGTATGATTTTTTTCCAGTCTCTTCCCGAACCCCCCACACCCCTTTCCCCCCGAGAATTGTCAGTCCACACCCTTTCTATGCCCCTGATTCTATTATATTCACCAGTTTATTCTGTTCATCAGATTATTTACTCACTTGATTTTTAGATTCACTTGTTGATAGATATGTATTTGTTGTTCATAATTTTTATCTTTACCTTTTTCTTCTTCTTCCTCTTCTTCTTAAAGGATACCTTTCAGCATTTCATATAATACTGGTTTGGTGGTGATGAACTCCTTAACTTTTTCTTATCTGTGAAGCTCTTTATCTGACCTTCAATTCTGAATGATAGCTTTGCTGGGTAAAGTAATCTTGGTTGTAGGTTCTTGCTATTCATCACTTTGAATATTTCTTGCCACTCCCTTCTGGCCTGCATAGTTTCTATTGAGAAATCAGCTGACAGTCGTATGGGTACTCCCTTGTAGGTAACTAACTGTTTTTCTCTTGCTGCTTTTAAGATTCTCTCTTTGTCTTTTGCTCTTGGCATTTTAATTATGATGTGTCTTGGTGTGGTCCTCTTTGGATTCCTTTTGTTTGGGGTTCTCTGTGCTTCCTGGACTTGTAAGTCTGTTTCTTTCACCAGGTAGGGGAAGTTTTCTGTCATTATTTCTTCAAATAGGTTTTCAATATCTTGCTCTCTCTCTTCTTCTGGCACCCCCATAATTCAGATGTTGGTATGCTTGAAGTTGTCCCAGAGGCTCCTTACACTATCTTCATATTTTTGGATTCTTTTTTCTTTTTGTTTTTCCAGTTGGGTGTTTTTTGCTTCTTCTTATTTCAAATCTTTGACTTGATTCTCCAGTCTGCTGTTGGATCTCTGTATAATATTCTTTATTTCAGTCAGTGTATGCTTAATGCTTAATTTCTAGTTGGTCCTCTTTCACAACCTCGAGGGTCTCACTAGATTTCTTGAGGGTC